CTCAATAGTTTGGGCATGGGTATTTTTCTTGGTCGTCGGCATTTTCGTTCGCTCTTTTAGAAAATATATCAACAAAATTTTGCAAAAAAAGAAAGTAAAATGACTCTCGTAGTACCGAATATCTTATCTCTTTTTATTTAGTCTAGTTTGGATCGAAATTGAGTGAGTTACACCAATTTGATTTTGAATGATGATTGTCCAAAGACTTTTGCAACACACTGTATAATGCACCAAATTTTTCCGAGCACAAAACACTGATCATTTACGCCTTTTATAGGCTGGTAGACTTCTATATTAGGCTGGTAGACTTCTATATTAGGCGTTTTGTGTTCACCAAACTTCTACACACAAATAATGTCGCTCACAATTTACCCAACGATACGAAATCGTTTTTTTACACACACCCCAAAGGTCCGAAGCTTGGACAGCTAAATACATTCATTGTAGCAAGTCCACGGTAGTTTCTTGGGTCCAAAGATGGAAAGAAACAAAAGATCTAAGTGATCAACCGAAATCCGGCCGAAATCGATCCACAACTCCGAAACAAGACGAAAAGATTATAGAGCTTGCACAAAAGCAAACTAACGCAACTGCCACTGATATACAACGGGAAATGAAAGAAAGAAATGTCAATGTTAGCGTGGACACTATTTAACGATGTTTACGTGAAGGCAAAGGAAAATACCTGGCGAAACTTTCCAAACCTTTACTTACTGATGCCCATAAAGAAAAATGGTTACAATGGGCCAAAAAATATAAAAACTTCGACTGGAGTAAGGTTATATTTTCAGACGAAAGCACATTTCGTCTAAATCAGTCGTTATTTAAGGTCTGGCAGTTTCCTGGCCGAAGAAAAATATTCCGGTCTGTGAAGCATCCATTAAAAATCAATGTGTGGGGTTGTTTTTCTGCTTCGGGCTTTGGTAAGCTAGTCTATTTCCAGCAGAATCTCAATGCTGAATTTATGGTTACGGTATACAAGCGCGGTCTTCTCCCGTCTGTCGAGCATCTTTTTGGGGACGATTCTGAAGGGTAGGTTTTGCAAGAAGATAACGACCCAAAACATCGTTCGAAATTGGTGAGTCGTTGGAAGAAAGAAAATGACATCGAAGTTCTGCCATGGCCATCAATGTCACCCGATCAAAATCCGATTGAGAATGTTTGGAGGTCGATGAAAATTAATATAGCAAAAAAAAATTAGAACTCTTACCAGATTAAAAGTACAATTAACAACAGAATGGAATCGCTTATCTGACGATCTTGCCGCGAATCTTGTCCGTAGCATGAAAAATCGGGTTGAGGAGTTGATTGAAGCTGGGGGAGATTATACAATGTATTAGTGATCAGGATATATTGTAAACATTTTAATAAAAAAAAAAGTTTTTTATCTTACCTATTCGCCAAGTTATGGGGGGTCGGTTACTTATGCGGAGCACTGTAAATGCAAATAACCTCCTTTGATGAAAGCATAGTAATCAAATTATTGCTGTATAAATTTTAGAATTTTTTGCGAGACAAAGATCTTTTATGTAAACTTTAGTTTTTTGTATATATGCTAGAAAATTCGTGAAATTTGTAATGGAAAAACGCGCTACGTGCACATAGAGATTCATACTAGTTAAAATGATTCTAAATTTTTATCGATTTCATATGATTAAAATCTAAAAACTCATCAAATCTAAATACCAAAACATTTCCTTATCACAAATCAAGTAGTATCAGCCTCACTAGTAACATCGAATAGCTGTTTTGCTAGTAGTATATCCAGTGCCACCACAAATTGCAGTCGTTACAAATCCAATTCCAGCGACGGATTGCAATATAGCATATAAACTACCAGATGTTACCGCTCCTCCGTATGTGGATATTAAAGCAGCTATTCCACTAGTAGTGAATCCGAGTCCATTTACTGCTGGTCCTGGTCCGGAATTTTTTTTTGTTTCACAAAAACTTTTGTGAAACATCCAATTGAAAATCCGATTAAAGATTTTCTAATACAAAAGACACATGTGCTACGTTGACAATCTTTTTTTTCATCAAACCTTTTTACTTTTGTAGAGACGTGCTTTTTGATATGTCGGCCGATTATGGAACGACGGTATACGTGATGCAAAAAAATTCATGCACAAAGAAAGATCCCTCTCTCAACAATATACGATAATATAAAAAACTCAAAAAAACCGGATCCACAAAACATGTGGGTAAAAAAGGGCGACAAAAAAAAATTGATGGGACTTCTGCAAGAATGCTAGGACAATACATTCGCAGGAACACCTCCCTCTCAACAAGAAATTTGGCCGCAAAACGGGTTTACAAGTGTCACATCAAATTATTGGAAGACATTTGAATCATCTTGGATATTCAAAAAGTCTGTCACGGGCTACCTCCATGCTTACCGAAGCACACAAAGAAAAACGGGTATTGTGGGCACAAGCTCACCTTAATGACTATTGGGATCGAACTTTTTTTCACTGACGAGACAGCATTTGAACTCTTCCGAAACACTGTGAAGCGATGGCATAAGGGAAAACGACCGATTCGTTATGTGCCCAAAAGCCGAATAAAAATTCTTGCATGGGAGGCTTTTGCGTTAAGGGAAAAACGAGTTTCCTCTGTTTTAAACAGATCATGGATGCGAAATTTTACGTTGAAATTCTAAGTGAACATTTACCGGAAATGAGGGGATGCTTGGGAGTAGGTGGCGTTTCCAGCAGGATAACGACCACAAGCATACAAGTCGCTTGGCAAAATCCCTTCTTTCAGAAAATATGCCCGAAGTTATAGACTAGCCGTCGAATAGTCCAGATTTGAATCCAATAGAAAACTTATAGGGGATTGTCAAGGGAAACGTAGAAAAGAAAATACCAAAAAATATCAAAGAATTAGAGCAGTTTATGGAGGAGGAATGGGGAAAAATTTCGAAATCTACTCTAATTTGGTTGGCACGATCGATGAAGAGGCGATGTGAGCTAATTATAGAGAATAATGGTGAACGCATCTCGTTAAATTTTTGTCTATTTCTAAACGCCAAATAAAAAAAATTTCACATGATTTTAATGTGATGATCGTAACGCAGTAACAAATAAAAAATTCCGGTTTTTTTCCAAACTGTAACTGCTACTATTACTGCTGCCACTACGGTTGTCATAACCAGGTGCTTAATAGCTTGATCCTTTGTTGATTTAACAAAGCTTTGATCCTTTCTGTGTATATTTGTGTATTGCATAAAGAGAGAATATTACTTAGAATAATCGAGCCAGTAATTTTTATATATCAATTTTCCAAATTAACCTGCTACTCCTGTTACTTTTATCTAGGGTTCTTGATCTGTTTTGTATTTATTTGTATTGCATAGAAGAGAAAAACTTTGTAAAAATTTACTTGATGTTTATTATGCTAAAGCGAGTGCATAATTGTAAAAATAATTTTTGTATATTGAGCTTTCTATATTTACCGATTCCATTTGTCGCAGGGTGCTTAGCTTGATTCTGTAATTTATATCCAATGTATTTGTCCTTATCCATGAGAAAAAATATTTGCTTTTAATTTATTATTATGCTAAGCGAGTTTATAGCGCAAAAATAAAAAATAAGAATTCTATCTTATTTCTTTTGAATACTCATTTTTACAAATTAGCATTTTTTCATAAATTTTTTGTCATGTAGGCTACAAAATTTAGTCATAACAAAAAAATAATGAAAAAATTTTTTCAGTATGAATTCTTATTAGTGACAGAATATATTTCTTTCAATGATTTTAGTAATGTTATAAATAGAGCCACTACTTTCTTATTGTAATAAGCTAGAGAGATTCAATATAGAAAATTCTCTATCTCGTTTTGATATTTAAAAATAAGAGAATTTCTTTTTCTTTTATTTCTTCTTTATTCAAAGTATTACTATAATTACTAATATTTTTTTTATTATTTTCTGACAATTTAATGATAATTTCTTTTTTATTTTCTGAGTGTGCTGAATAATTTTCATGAGATAAGTAATAATAGTTTCTATATTAATAATAATAATATTTATTTAAAGTGTATTATTAGTTTTGATATTTCTCTTTCAAATAATTTTCTATTTGAATTATCTTTTTTATTTCAAAATAATTATTATAATAATAATTTTAATATGAAGAATCATTTTAATATTTTGAGTAATAAATATAAGATATCTTGATAAGTTATTTTCTAGTTATTTTTTTTTGAATAATAACTTTTAAAATAATAATATTTTTTAATTGAAATAAGAGATATAATATATTTAAAATTAATAAAAATTTAAATAAAATTCTAATATAAAAAATAGAAATTCTTTATTTAGTTTAAAATAATAATATTATAATATTAAAGATTTATTTTATTATTATTAATTTTTTATAAAAATATATAGAATAAATAATATCTTTGTTAATAATATTTCAATTTATTTTTGATCTGATATAAAAAGATTAGTATATTAGATAAATATTTATAAATTATTTTTTTAAAATAAAATTTTAATATTATCTTATTTATTTAATTAAGTTATTAAGTATTGAAATTTATTTAAATGTAAAAATTTTTATTATATAGTATATCTTTTATAAAAAAAATTTTATTAATTATAATCTGATGCAAAATTGTAGATATACCAATATGCTTATAATAAAAAAATTTTTTAGGCAATTTAATACAAATATTTAAATAATTTTATTTATTATATAGATTTTAGAAAATATATTTATATAAATTTTATTGAAATATTTAATTTGTATAAGAATTTTTATTAATCATTAATTTCTTCTACTTCAAAATTATTATCATTATCACTGCTGATTAGTAATACATCATCACTTGATTCATCATATTCTATAGTCTTATCAAGTGATCTTATCCAAAAATCAACAATAATCTTAATCATAATCTTTTCTTTAAAGACATATAATAATTTATTCCTAATAACTAAAAGGCTAGAATAGGAATCAGATCTGGCAACTTCTCCTTTTGCAATTGATTATACTCTTTCAATTAGCTAGAGTTCACAGTAGTAAGATGATGTATCATCAGAAAATTTTTTAGGAAGATATTCATCAAGAATTATTGTCATATCTATAAAAATCAATAAATATCTCTCTAAAATATCAATATTAATTAACAACTCTGATGATCTTTGATAAATATCCATATCAATAATAATTGATTATTATTAATACATTATTTATCAATATATAATAATATATTGATTATTATCATAATATATTATTTATTGATAATAAATGATATATGTTAATAGTTAACTCAAATACTTATTTTAAAATCAGTTTATCATATTAATATTGATTTAGCTTATATAATCTAAATAAACACATATATACTCACATATTTAATTATTTTCAAGACTTAAACTTTTAAAATACTTTTTATTTAATATTAAAAAATATATTAATTTAATAAATATTCATTATTTTTTCATATTCTTTGA